GGCATTGTCACGCACGCATGCGTGGGCTGGTGAAACGAAGTCAGAGGTGCCTTTTTCGCTTAGTTGAACACGTTCACCTCACGTACACACACATAAGGCCTACTATGCTGACTATCAGGTCACAGACGTCAGTAGTGCTGCTTGTCGTGGGTTGAGTAAGCTCGCCTCCCGATGTCACACTTTTGCGTCTGGCAGTGGCAGTTACGTCTGTTATTATTTTCTACTTGTTAGCCGTTCTTCTTTGATCAGTTTTTTGATTTCAAAATTACTGCATTCTTTTATTTTCCTTATTGTTTTTTGTTTGCACATGACTTTGAGCATGGTTTATTTCGGTGCTTCGATTGCGCTTTGCACGCGCTGTGTTACTGCGAAGCCGCGACTCTGATTTCTGGTCTCGGCGCTACGATTTATTTTTCATTTCGATACTTCAATTTTACCTTTTGAAAGCCTAAACAATACGTAGCTGTATCTTGCTCACTTTTTATGCACTTCTCGAGATCTTTATTGTTATGTTATCTGAGTACTCTTCTTGTGCTGAACGTTCTTTAAGGCTTAGATACCATCGTGAGCTATCTCGTTCTCTGTTTTGGCTGTCTAGTCCGGTTCAGCTGATATTAACATGATGATAGTATCTGTCTGCGCTGGGTTGGTCTTCGTTCGTTCTTGTAGATTAAGCCTATTCGGTTAAGCAAGAAAACAGTTAGAGGCCTTAGTTTTGAATAAGACCTTATTAAAATGGTAGCATGAGTATAATCTTGACCAGCACAACGGAGGCCATATGAGTGCATGTGACATAATAAATTACGGGTTTACTCTCGATTACTGAATATTTCCTCGACCATAATGAACTCTTCATTTGCAAGTGGAAGCAAATGAACATGACCCTGGAGACAACAACGCAGAATTGAACGGGGGATCTAGGTGGGTGCTGACTCAGGAGAAATAAGGACACAAACGTGAGTGGACCATTCTAAGAGGATCTACTTCTGCCGGCTTCTCAGTATATATTGGAAGAATAAAAACCATTCCTTTTTCAGCGGATATATCAGAGCTCACAAGAATACCCCTGCCCTCCTTCAAAAATGAGCACATTCCAAAAAAGAGTTGGTCTCACTGGAAAGCACTTGCTCGCATCCCTTCACCTTATAGCATGCAGTTCCTCTAGATTCGCTCTGGCCACAGAAACCGCGTAAACTTTGATCGATCAATATTTGTAAGAAGTTGCTTGGTCATCCTGGCATTCTCTCCTTGAGGCGGATGCTATGGCTACAGGCTGTTTATCAGTAAGAGTGATTTGCAGATCTCATTAGATTTTATCTCGGCCAATCGCGCTCCTCCTTCTCTGTCGTATTGATTGTATATGAGCACAGTCAAGGACGGATACGCTTTGTGTTATCACGGACGCTTCTGTTGGCTCCCGTTCTGTTGATTACAGTCCCTTGGCAACTATACGACCAATAGGACTTCCCAGTCAATCACCAACGTGAGAGTCGATTTGAGCTGTGATACCCAGTTTGCACCTGGGCACTTTTGGGGCAATTGTGCCCGTCTTCCAACGCCCCATTTAGTCAGGTGTCAGTAGCACAGTAAAAGGAGCACAACTTGGTGTCAAGGCATGCTGCAAGGTTGCTTTACCAGAGGTATACCTCTGAGTAGAGTTCTATTCTCTTCTGTGCACAATATCATTCTAAAAAATGTAACCTAATTTTCTATTCATGCACAAATACGGACTTCATTTTGATCCACAGTTGATTCACAGTTAACCTGCAGGAGGATTTAGCATGTAAGCTCGTCGTTGCAAAACAGAGATTTTAAATGAGAAAGATACAGAAATTTGATTTTCTACGGAGAAAATCAATATAAAACAGCAAGATCATCATATACTGCACTCTGACTAATCAATAAAATAGCAAATTGAGAACGCAAAATAGGAATGAAAATGGAAAAAGTAACAAGCTGAGGGATTGCGCAAATCAAAGGGTCCAGATTAACCCGGGCAAGCTGAGGTTGACCACTTGGTCTAACTGTTTGAATAAGTCGGGTTTCTCCCGCCGCATGCAGATTAATTTCAGGTAGTGCAGTGTTCGAGTTGTTCGTGCCCGAACCAATACTCGAAAAGATGTTTTGGGGTCGACCGAATAACCACTATCTAGGAGGTGCTTTGTGAAAGAAGACCGAGGAATATCATTCTCCTGCTTTAGAAACCATTTAGGCAGGTGCTTAACTGACCTGGCTGCCAGTTGCCTTTGCGTTCGCCCAATGTACTTGCATCAACAAGTTCATGTGAATTAGTAAAAACAATTTGATGTGGTATTCCATGGCAAGACATCCTTTGCTCGTGGAACATGGATAGTCTTTGTGGGACTGCAGCATAAAAGTTCAGTTAAATTGTGTGTTCTTTCAATGGCACATCTTAGTCGCCACTTGATGGCATTTGAGGCGTTGTAACCCTTAAAGGGTAAGGATATTACAACAGGCTTTTTCAGAACTGACTGCTCCGTCAAATTCGGCGCTAAAATGTTTCTGTACTTTCCGATGAACCGTGTTGGATATCCACGTTAAAACATGGCCGTTTTGAAGCAAGCAATTTCAGGCTCCAATGTCTCAATATAACAAATGTTTCTTGCTCTTTGGAAAAGAGCGTAAACCAGATTTTGGCTATATTGTTCTGCGTAACTTATTAAGTAGCAGAATACGTCATGTGATGTGAGCTTCGATACAAGTGGCTAGTCTTTTGTTCTTTTTAGTTTACGGCGACAAGACGCGGCTGACGGTCTTCCACGCATTTCACCACTGCGAAATACTAGTTGGCAATTTGCTAAAAATCATAAACTTCTACTGGGATGTTGTACCCGTGCATATAGTAACGTTCCACTATATTCCAGCCAACTCCCTCCCCTCAAAAAACGTCACCCGGAAATTCGCTCTCTGTATTTGCGTATGTACAGTTGGAGGACAAGTGAAAAAAGGTGAGAAAACACAGCGGAACTAAAAAAACCTTGTTCCATTAGGTCTTCCCTAAGTAAATTGCAACACTTCTTGATGGGTTTTTTCTTTTAAAAATGCACGCTTTTCCTTGAATGACACTTATTAGGTTCACACTCAGAATCCAATTAACAGGATATAGCGTCAAATACCGAAATCAACTTGCACGGGAATTGAGGATTCCTGTTAGCACACACCAGTGACGCCGCCCAATGCGTTCAAAATTGCGCCCTTTAACGCATTGCGTCAGTCGCGAGACAGGAGTCCGCTAAATGCTTTCCTGTTCAAGGTCTATTTACCCAAACATACCCCTAGGTCACAAACGTCACACACAACTTTTTGAGTGTCTTACACAATTGACACACATTCATTTTCATTTTGTATTAAGACACTAGGAATATGCATACGTATGGCAAACGTATTATATCGTACTCCCGACATAGGTATTAACTAAAAACCCAGACTCGTGTGTGGCGGACATTTTGCCGCTGCATGACACAGCTGCGAGGGGCTCGGCTCTTCAGTGGTTAGAGGCATTGGACTTCTAACTAACAGGTTGCGAGTTCGAACTTCGGGTGTTCCACACCTTGCGGTTGGTTATGACTGGCTGACGACAGCTAATAAGTCAGAAATGGTCATTCCACTCTTTCTTATCTTTGTCAGTAATAATATTCTATAAATATATATATATAGGCAGAATGGTATTACTGACAAGGAAAAGGGAGACTAGAATGGCCATTCCTGGCTTATTAGATGTCGTCAGTCAGTCATACCCAACCACGAAGTGTGCAACGCCCGAGGCTCGAACCCGCGACCTGTTAGTTAGAAGTCCACGCCTCTAACTACTGGTCCACGAGCACCTTTTCCCGTCAGTTTCGATCGGGAATATACAATGGTAGGAGACGCTCAGCGATCGCTCTTACGGAGCTCGCTCATTCTGTTGTGCCTCTGTCGTGGGCTCTTTCTCTCGAGCCATATCAGCAGCAGCACAGCGGCGCATGATATTAGCAGAATGGTATTATCGACAAAGACAAGGGGGACTGAAATGGCCACTTCTGGCTTATTAGCCGTCGTCAGTCAGTCATACCCATGCCCTAAGTGTGCGACACCCGAGGCTCGAACTCGCGACCTGTTAGTTAGAAGTCCATGCCTCTGACCGCAGAGCCACGAGCCACGTGGATATGTAAAAGGTTCGCTAGGAAGTTTGTGGGCGCAGCATTAGTGGGACTCAATTTTGTTCCTTTATATAGTAGACTAAGTTCAGCGGATGTTATAATCCTTTTAGATCTTCTGGATGCATGCCTGAGGAGGAAACGACAGCTGCTTTATGCTGTTTTATGGGAAAATGATTATCGGAAGTGCTGAATGGCATCTTAAGATGAATTTCCAGTTATCCATTGAAATTAACCAATACTCTCCCAAAGAAAAAACCAGTAACATGAATAATGTTGCACTACTGCCTCGCTCAGTCGATTGTTCTGCAGCAAACAGCAACTCAACGTCACATGCCTTCGAATAATTCCAAACAGAAATGGGGACTGTGCATTTGTGCCCAGAAGCTCATCCAACCTACTTTCACAAGAAAGGCATTTCCGTCAATAGCTCTATTTTACGTGCTACGTATTATTTTGAAGCCTGTGATGATTCAGCGGCAATTTTTGTGCTTAAGTCACTTTCGCAATAGGCTCCCTGTTATGACCCGCCTGGTACGTGGAAGCCCGTGGAGCGTATACGCACTCGACCCTGGTCCCGAATACCAAAGCAGCAGACAAAGAAAACACGGCTGGCCACGGAATGCAGTCGCGACTAGCTAAAGGTGACGCATATTTATAACACGCTATTGTGGTTCGCCGGCATTCGGCCAATGACCTTCGGGACGAGGGGAGTAGCCAATGGGAAGGCGCCTGATTGAGATGACAGCGCTGTAGAGAGAGCAAACGCACATGATCTCCAGTGATTGGTTGGTTCTTGTTTTTGGGAGTGTAGGCACTCCCAACACCTCCCCTCCAAGTGGGTCAGTACCGCTTTTGGCGTGGATTGATCTGCATCGGCAGTGTTGATCGGCGCACGCGGTTGGTCCGGCGTCTTAGTCGTGGTTTGTTGTCTGGAGACCCGGGGGCAGTGACTGATACCGAAGGCGGTACATCCGAAGGAGGCGCAGCAGTGGGCTCGGGGACCGACCGATCTGCCGGAATGGCGAAGATATCCAGTAGGATGTCAAGGGGGAGTGACGGCGCCGACTCGAGCCCAGTTGTGTTATTGCAATGTCGCCGTCGGATCTGGTTGTGATGACGAACCCAGATGTCATCACCAACGTCGACGTCAAACAACATACGGCCTCTGTGCGCTACTACGGTTGCTTCAATCCAATCTGGAAACTCCGCTCGATAATCACGAACGAAGACAGGTGGTCCGATGGAGAGCTTGCTGCGAGAGACTTTAGAAGTCTGCGCCGGCTGCGCACTGGTAGGAACGAGGGCATGTAACGTTGTACGCAGTTTTCGGCCCATCAACGCTTCGGCAGGAGAAACGCCACCAGGGTACGCCGGGTTCGGTGTTGTCCTGTAGGAAAACAGGAATGCCTGGACTATCTCGTTCGTGGTCCCCTCCCCACGAGCTTTCAAGAGGGCTCTCTTAAACGTGTCGACAAAACGCTCCGCCCGACCGTTAGACTGAGGATGGTAGGGCGGGGAGCGAAGATGCTGGATGTTGTGCTGACGGCAGAACTCCTCAAATGTCGATGAAGTAAGCTGAGAGCCATTGTCTGAAACCAGGACTTCCGGTAAGCCATGTTGGCTAAAGATGCGTCGTAGGAAGGCAATAGTAGCAGATGCGGTTGCTGGATTCAGCGGAGCAATCTCGGGCCACTTCGAGAAGCTTTAACCAAAATTAGGTAGGAGACTCCGTTAAGTGGGCCAGTGAAGTCAATGTGCACGCGTGACCAAATCCTCTCCGGAGGTTGCCAGGGTATTGGAGGTTGACGAGGCGGCATCTTGACAGTTTGCTGACATCGAGAACAGCGTCGAATCAGGTCGTCGATGTCGCCGTCGATACCCAGCCAGTAAGCTAAACTGCTTGCAATTGTTTTTATTCGGCTGGCATCAGGATGAGCGGCATGGAACTGGCGTAGTACAGTGGGTCGGAGGGAAGATGGAATCAACAGACGGTCCGCAAACATGAGGCAGGAGTCAACGACAGGTAGCGATGCTCGGCGGAGAAAGAGCTGTCGAAGATCACCAACGAGAGCAGTGATTGGCCAGCAGGTCTGCACGTAGGTGATGGCCTGACGGAGGACAGGATCCTGTTCAGTAGCACGTCGGATGTCCGCGGCAGTGACAGGGATACCTCGTATGGCGTCTGATAGCTGACGGCACACATCTTCCCCAATCAAAGTAGCGCAATCACAGTATCTTCCTCCGGTTCCTGCTGATTGCTGATGAGGCGAGAAAGGGCGTCAGCCTGACCAAAGTCTGTAGTGCAACAGTAGCGAAGGTCGAAATCGTAGCCAAGAAGGATGATTGCCCATCACTGCAGTCGGCTGGCTGAGTAGAAGGGAATGCCCTTCTTCGAACCGAAGATTGACAGCAATGGTTTGTGATCCGTCAACAACGTGAAGTGGCGACCGTACAACAGTTTGTGAAATTTCTTGACGGCAGACACGAGGGCTAGAGCCTCTTTCTCTATTTGCCCGTAGTTCTTCTCCGCAGGTGTTAGCGTGCGAGATGCATGCATGATCGCCTTTTCAGACCCATCAGGAAAAGTGTGTGAGATGACGGCATCAACTCCGTGGTAGGAAGCATCTGCAGCAACAACGATCGGCAGCGTCGGGTCGTAGTGCGTGAGCAGCAGACCTGAACACAGCATCGACTTTAGCTGAGAGAAAGCCTTTTCACAGTCGGGGAACCAGCACCAGGCAGCATACTTCTGCAACAGACGGTTGAGCGGGGCCCGTACGTCATGCAGCGATGGTAGGAAGGCGCTATAGTAACTGATCAGGCCAAGGCAAGAACGAAGTTGCGATACATTCTTGGGTGCAGGCATCCGTTGGATGGCCCGAATGTTTTCAGGATCTGGATGGCGACCATTGACGTCAAAAACGAATCCAAGGTACTTGATGGAGTCGAGGAAGAATTGGCACTTGTCGGCCCGTAGGCGAAAGCCATATTCCTGCACGCGTTCGAGTACTGCACACACTCGGTCTTGCAGCTCGGCAGGGGAGCGACCTACGATGATGATGTCGTCCAGGTACCCAGCTGTGCCAGGGATGCCGGAGAGCATTGCGTTCATCGTTTGTTGAAATAGGGCCGGGGTGGTCTTGACACCAAAGGGCAGCCTGGTGTATTGGAACAGACCGTGGTGGGTATTGATGGTCAACAATTCGCGCGACTCTGGGCCGACCTCGATCTGCAGATACGCATCAGCGAGATACAACTTGGCAAAGCAAGTGTCACCATTCAGCAGGGTGAAAAGAACAACCGGAACCGGTAATGGATAGTAGTTCGTCGTCAACGCGGCATTGAGACCGGTGGAGAAGTCAGCACAAATGCAGATCGAGCCATTAGGCTTCTTGACCACAACGACTGGAGCGGCCCAGGCGGAGTAGGATACAGGAACCAGAACTCTCAGTTCCTCTAAACGTTTCAGCTCAGCCTCGACAAGTGGTAGGGCTGCATATGGTACTGGTCGCTTTGGACGGAAGACTGGTTGACTTCCAGGAGACAGATGTAGCACGGCTTGAGTGTATGTGCAATGACCCAGGTCGTCTTGGAACACTGGAGCAAACCGTTGGAGAATGTCCTTGGCTTGGTGTGCAAGCACAGCGGGAATCTGCACCTGACTGCAAACAACGCGGAGCGGGATATCGGCCAACCCAAGTTGTTCAATCCAGTCGAGACCAAGTAGATTTAGATCAGAATTGGTGATGAAGCAGATCGCAGTGATACTGGTCCCGCGGAATGACACACAGCATTGCAGTTGCCCAATTAGCTGAACGAGACCACCGCACGCGCTTGTGGCGGACTGGGAAGTCTGCTGCATCGTGGGGCTGCCAAGGGACTGCCAGAGTCTCTCAGAGATTATGGTGATATCTGAGGCAGTGTCCAACTGTAGGCGAACTGCATGGCCATTGAGCAAGACATCAACAAATTTTCTACGACCAGACGCATTGAGCTGGAAAGCAGCCAAGAGACTGAGAGAATTACCAACGGACTGGGGTTTGGGCTTGCGTTTTGACTGGAAACGGTGCCTGGAATAAGGAGTGGCGGGGGCTGGCTTGCCTCCAGAAGCTGGTAATGATTTGCAGAACCCATCACGGTGTCCCACCTGATAACCGCTTTGGCGGCGATGCTGGCGGAAAGTGCAATCCCGGTGGAAATGCCACGTACCACAGTGCCGACAAGGAGATGGCGGAGATCTCGACTTGGACACTTGCTTGGGCCGTGTAACAGGATGCGATTTGGTCGATGTGACCGAATGGACTGAGAAAGATGAGGCAGGGTTCTGAATCATTGCAGAGTCGTGCTTGAGGTTGATCAGCGTTTGGCACTCTGCTGCCAGCTCTTGGAGTGTGGTGCAATTGTTCTGCTGCACTTTGGACAGGAGACGTGTCCGGATATCAGCATCCTTGGGGGACTGGAGGCCGCAGATAAATATAAGGAATTTAAACTGGCCTTCAGTGAGAGAACCGAGTTGGAAACGCCCACACTCAGGATTAACAGTGCCCGCATACGTGATGAAATCATCGGAATCTCGTTTGCACAGTTGCAGGCACTGAAATCGAGTGTTGAAGAGGGATGATTGCTCACCAAAAATCTGCGACAACGTCTGAACCGTGTCCTTGAAAGCGACTTATCTGGGATTCTTGGGGAGGATAAAGTTGGCATAACGCTCGTGTTCAGTCGAACCTTCCATGCATCGTCCTGGGCAGCCAGATCGACAGAGAACAAGTCCTCGTATCGTTTGTACCGGGAATCAAAGGTGATATGGGCCTGCGGGTCATACAAGAATTCAGTGATGCTGCCGGCAATGTGATCAATAGTTTGCGAACCACCTGCCGCGCTTGATTGACCCATCGACGAGTTGAACAGCTTAACGGTGAGTGCCTCCATTAGCTTCAGCTGCTGCTGCAACATCTGCTTCAAGTCTGCGTACTCGTCAGCCATTGTAGTTGAAAAACTGCGTCGCCAATTTGTTATGACCCGCCTGTTACGGGGAATCCCGTGGAGCGTATACGAACTCGACCCTGGTCCCGAATACCAAAGCAGCAGACAAAGAAAACACGGCTGGCCACGGAATGTGCATTAGGGAAACACTGCAAGCCGCGACTAGCTAAAGGTGAGGCATATTTATAACACGCTATTGTGGTTCGCCGGCATTCGGCCAATGACCTTCGGGAAGAGGGGAGTAGCCAATGGGAAGGCGCCTGATTGAGATGGCAGCGCTGTAGAGAGAGTGCAAACGCACGTGATCTGCAGTGATCAGTTTGCTCTTGTTTTGGGAATGTAGGCACTCCCAACACTCCCATACATTTCTAAGAACTGCGCATACGAGTATGCTTAAAATCGCTTTTTGGCTAAGCTTTTGTGTCTAATAGGTCCAGGGGACTACCTAGAATATTTGACTTAGACAACCCTAGTTTGTCTCCAAACACTGCTGGGAATCGTCTGTGTACTTATCATGGAGCTTTTATATCCTTCGTTCTCGGTGGGTTTGAGGATGGCACAAGGTAGCGTGGACGTTATTATGATAGAATCTTGAGAGAAGGGGTACGTGAACGGATGCTCCCACACTTGTACTCCAGAGTACAGTAGGTGGGCTACCTCATGAAATGTCAACCAAAAATCCGAAATGCTTTTTCGCTTCGAAAATATTAATTAAGAAGGGTTGTAGACCAAATCAAGGTGCAGCATAACTCTATAATAATTCGGTTGCCTCAGGACGCCGGCTATCGAAAACACTTCGTTTAGTCTTCATCCAAAAACCATAGTCCCTAAAAATTGACTACTGAAATAGCATATTTTTTATTGATTTTCGATGCCCCTAAATATTCAATTAGATTTCATGGAAAACGTGCACAACATCATTTACCTTTGCTCATTCAGTTTAAAATTACGTCTTCTTTTAATTTTATACTCGAAGAAAGGGTATAATTTGGTTTTTAAAAAAGTTTATAATTGTGAGATTTTTTAATATCGTGAAATGACCCTTCATAAATCGTCATGTCTCTGCATCTACCAATGTGACCTGCAAAGTTGACGATGTGGCTCAAATCCACTGCTTCTTTTTATGTAGTTCAACGCTAGAGAAATGCATGGTTTTCCGTAAGCGAAAATTATACGGCTTGTAGTCTGGGAACCCTGAATACAAGTGTAACGGCAGGTCGTTTTCAAAATTACTCGCGAATTCGAAAAGTTTGATAAGACCAAATTTATCCTTCCTTGTAGTGTAAAATTGAAAGTAGACGTAATTTTCTAATAAATGAGCGTGTGTGCATGTTTTCCATAAAATATAATTGCACTTTTAGGGGCATCGAAAATCAATCAACTACTTACGTAGTCATCATTCACAGAGTATGGTTTTTGGATGCAGCTGGAAAGACGTTTGTTCGAAAGCCGGCATCTTGTGGTAACTAATTTATTAAAGAATGATGCTGCACGAAGTTTGGTTTTGCAATTCTACTTTATTAATCTTTTTAAAACGGAAACGCATTTCAGAATATCTTTTGACATTTCCTGGGTTATTCCACTTAAGTTAAATGATTCAAGTCAGAGTAAATGGATGCCGTTAGCAATCAGTTGTGAATAACTTCCAAAGGAGTCTCTATTATAAGGTGCGGAGGATTGTCTATCTTAATTTGAATAAGGCAACCTGGATTGCATATCCTGTGTCCAAATTTGTGTTCACCTTTCCAATGCTACTAAGGTACTTGAGAGACGGGATAAGTTTTTGAAGTTGCCGCGCTGCGAGGTATTTAATTAATACATTTGCTTGACTAGTGAAGTCACTCATTCTGTGATAATTCGGTAAGGGATGGTTATCTATCCCCATCTGGTGAAAAGTTCGTGGTCAGAGTTAGGGGGTAGGGTTAGAGGTAAGGGAAACTATTCCTCAACCACTCAAAGTACAACCGCGGATTTCCAATAGCTTTTCTTTCGCATACAACAACTTGACATCGTCGCCTGTTCGTTCCCCGGCCTCACCTGCAAAAAGCCCTATCACTACCGGTACCGTATTACAGGTGGCTGGGGTTTGTTTACTTCAGGTGGGACTGCATAACCACATCCGACCGGTTGTTCCACCAATGAGCGGACGACGCCGGTTGATCTAGCCTGTGGCGCCGTTCTTGTACGGGGAGAAGGGAGGGAAGGAACTCAGCATCACACATGTTGGACAGTGATCCTCTATCATTCTCCTCTTGGATCGGCCCCGTCTGCCCGCCAACCAACCGCTGACTTGTTTTCATCCAACAGAAGACAAAATGGCCTTCGGGAAAAGTTAACTGACTGATACTTCCTTCCATTAGCCTGTAGCAATTTCCCCTTAAAGTGACTGGCCTACAATATTTGACTTTGAATCGTGAAAGGTCCTCAAAATGCATAAGAAACTGGTCAGGTCCCAGGATTCTGGAGGTCAAAAAGCATTGCTTGGCAGTCAAAAATACATCGTAGGCTTTCTTCTAGTACATCTTGAATCGCGTTTATGTCTGACGATTTGGCCTAATTCATAACACGTAAAGCTGTTTTTGCCCTGGTTTCGCAAAACCGACGAAACACAGCTGTTTCGGTAAACATGGAGACTGAATCTGTTTACAGTCTATTCTGATTTTTCAGGAAAATTTAGTTATACCTTTTTCCTTCTCTCTAAGTATTTCCAGACACCTTTGTGGTTTAAAAACCAGAGTTTTAAAACACCGCAAAGCCCACACTCAACTGTCATGCAAACTGAAACGGGAAAAGATGTTTAGGGAAAAGATAATTGTTTAAGATCGCCGCTTCTTCAGTTATCCAGTATCAAAAATGTCCAACTGCATTTACTCACAGTTTTCCACTATTTTGCCATCTTTTTCGCTACCGGTCCACAGGATTTATATCGATTCTAATTAGACCTGGCGTTTACCAGAAGAGAAACCAGGTGTCAGCATCTGCAGAAACTGTTCATTCTAAGATCACTTTGTTTTGCGACGTTCGAATTTAGCGCCGTCGTCGGTTTCCTGCTGCAGTGGTGTGCCGTGTAGAAAGTAAGTCCTTGGGCTGGAGGCTCTGAAGCTGCCCAGTTGAAGGCAGTTGCACTTGCTTATAATGAGAGGCATAAGCTAGCGCTTCGACCAATCTTTGAGCCTGTTGATTATGGCACATTTGCCGTGGAAGCCAAACATATAAGTTTATCTAAAGCATTATAGTTCAAAGTGAGGGCCTTTTCTTGCAGGATTGGTGGAACGATAGACAGTTGGGGCTTGCTGTACAGAAAGTAAATAACGCAGTCCTGATAATCCGACGCGTTTTCGGCTGCTATGCATGTGCGTATACATGTTTCGTCTTATGAAAATGTATTGCGAATGATTAAACGCGTTTTGACCCTCATGATTTAAGGAGCATTAATTAAGGATTCAGACTGGCTCACTGGGCGTGTTGTTCGGGTGGTGCTCAGTACGTACTTGTACTACCGAAAAATGAAGTGACGCGATGGCAGACACATACGCACATCTGCCTGCTGGGCATATGTGCGAATATATGCCTCAGCGTCCACCTGATTATGTTAGCTGACTTAGTAAGTTCGAATTTTATCGCCTGGGCGAGGGATGCAAATGCATTTTTGCGGGTAACATTATTCGAAGGGGTGTTGAAGGGCTTTCAGTGGCAACCTGGCATGTGGCTGGGCAATAACGTAGAGTTGAAGTACAAGCTTATGAAGTGTTAACCGAAATTATGAAATGCACTTTTACTCGGGAAGGTTATCTAGGTAGGATTGTAATATTAACCACCATGTAGCATGCTCACATTATAAATCAGTTACTTCAGGATGCCGGCTTCCGAACGAACCTCTTTCCGACCGCCAGCAAAAAGACACTCTGCAATATGGAATCGATAGAGCCTGTGGTGTGTATGAGAATTATCAGTTGTTGAGGATAAAAAATATTTTCCACAATTTAACATCGTAACTTTTCCATCTCCCTTCTAATGTGAAAACAAAACTGGAATTAAAATGGATAAGACATGAATATCTGACAACTGTTAAACTCCGTTAACTGCGAGCTGTTAATGGCGCTTGTGCGAGGGTTTTTTCCCGGAAGATTTAAGGTCTTTCAGCGACGCCGGGGTACCTAATTGTCCCACATCCAACAGCTGCACATGCAACACATCCCGAAATGTCTGCGATTTGCTCCTTATAGGCGTCAGCCGCAATACGCACCGTCCTGAGTGGAAATGAAAGCTGAGCTTCTGGAACGATTTGTTTAGCTAATGGGTATCGAATGCGTTCGTACAGTCCTTAACATTTAGACATTTTGTCATAGGTTTACTAGAATAATTGACGTGGTATGCATTCCGAGGTGGTATTATGGAAAAGGGAAGACTCTTCGGTAAAATGAGTTGTACTCGTGAATTTTCCATTTGGTGACACCAACGAACTGACCTAACATGTCGACCACTTTTCTCCTCCGTTCTTTTCGTCAGACGACGGTTCGTGACATCAGCTTGACAATTTACTTATACAACTCGATTTTTTGAGGAGCCTTCTATTTTTCATGCATGTAATTGTTTTGTATTCTCAGAGCTGCTCAATTACATACTCCCTCTCGTTGTTCACAACCTTCTTCCAACCATCAGGCAATTTTAATGCCCTACCTCGAAAAGATCCGTGGGTTCAGACGCAAAGAACTCATTGGCTCAATTTTGAAGATACGCGTCGCTATTAAAGGGAACTCCGGTGCAAATAACCAAGAAATGGTAACCCCAAGGAACAAGATACGAAGAGGATGAATGATGCAAGACAACTGTCCAGGTTAGCTTTTTAATTACATTTATGGTAAAATTGGGGCGTGTGGCCTTGCTTGCCCTATTCCAAAATGAACTCATTTTGGCGACATATCATGTTTGTTGAATTGCCCCCATCTTGATGATGAAGTTGTTAACTGCAGAACTTCACATTAATGATCCGGTCACTG